TGCATTGATTTTTTTTTTTAGAGAATGAAGGGAGGGAGGGAGGGAGAGACAGAGAGAGAAAGAGAGAGAGTTCAGCTGCCTCTCACACGGGATTGAACCCGCAACCGCGGCACGTGTCCTTGACTGGGAATCGAACCTGCAGCCCTGGGACCTCAGGCCGATGCTCCAACCACTGAGCAACACCGGCCAGGGCACACCAGCTCTTCTTTCTCATCATTGTCACTTTACAGGGAGCGAACAAGTTCACAGAATCAGCCCCCAGCTGGGAGGTGCAGAGCCGGGATTCGAACCCAGGCAGCCAAGCTCTGGAGCGGCACTCCTAACCACGTGACAGCTGTCGGCCCTCCCAGGGAGGTCACAGCCTGAGAATTGCTGTTTTTGTCTTCAAAATCCAGAATATACTTCATTCACTCAACACATCTCCAGGCAGACACTACATTTGCATTGCAGATGCTTGTTCTTAAACAGGTTTCATAAAATGTATCGGTGCAAGCATACTACATTCACTACCCCAGTTGTTCCAAACAGACTTAAAAGTTTCCCAGCCCTGGCTGGTTTGGCTCAGTGGATAGAGCGTCGGCCTGCAGACTGAAGGGTCCCGGGTTCGATTCTGGCCAAGGGCACATGCCCGAGTTGCTGGCTCGATCCCCAGTAGGGGGCGTGCAGGAGACAGCCGATCAGTGATTCTCTCTGATCATTGGTGTTTCTCTCTCTCTCCCCCCCACCCACTTCCTCTCTGAAATCAATAAAAACCTATATGTTAAAAAATATATATATAACTGATGCCCAGGAGGATTAACTGATTTCTTCCTCGCTCTGTTCCTTGACAGACCAGCCAGCGAGCTTTTCAGAATGGAACTGTGAATAAGTCACTCCCTTCAACAGCTTCTTGGACGTGGCTCAAGACCAAAACCAGCCCGAGCCGGCTTGGCTCAGTGGACAGAGCATCGGCCTGCGGACTGAAGGGTCCCAGGTTCGATTCTGGCCAAGGGCACGTTCCTGGGTTGCGGGCTCGATCCCCAGTAGGGGGCGTGCAGGAGGCAGCTGATCAGTGATTCTCTCTCATCACTGATGTTTCTATCTCTCCCTCTCCCCTCCTCTCTGAAATCAATAAAAATATATTTAAAACAAACAAACAAAAGACCAAAACCAAACTACTCGGATAAAAAATGTAGGCAGAGCCGAAACCGGTTTGGCTCAGTGGATGGAGTGTCGGCCTGCGGACTGAAGGGTCCCAGGTTCGATTCCGGTCAAGGGCATGTACCTGGGTTGCAGGCACATCCCCAGTAGGAGATGTGCAGGAGGCAGCTGATCGATGTTTCTCTCTCATCGATGTTTCTAACTCTCTATCTCTCTCCCTTCCTCTCTGTAAAAAAATCAATAAAATATATTTAAAAAAAAAATGTAGACAGAATGAGAGAACTGGAAAACCATTGTTTTGCAACCTCTGATGACATCGTTGATTCAGGCCATGATTGTTGACGGAAAACCGGATGGGAACTGGATATTCTCGGGGCGCTACTACTTGCTCGTGGAGAGGAGGGAATTGGAGCTTTACAATGAGGCTCGCGCTGTTCCTATCTGTATTAGTGGGCGAGGGCTGCCAAGACAAAATACCAGAGACTGGGTGCCTCGACAGCACTCGTGTATTTTCTCCCTGTTCTCACATCTCCTCCCCTTATAAGGAACCAACCCCATGGGTCAGGACCCCACCTTTTTAAAAAACATCCTCACCCAAGGATAGATTCTTATTGATTTCTAGAGAGAGGAACGGAGAGAGAGAGAAACATCGATCTCTCTATGAGAGATTTGCCTCTCGTATGTGCCCCAACTGGGGGTGGAACCCACAACCTAGGTATGTGCCCTCACAGGGAATCAAACCCCAAAACTTTTGGTGCACAGGAGGCTGCTCCAACCAACTGAGCCACCCGGCCAGGGCAGGACCCCACTCTTTTTTTTTTTTTTTAATATATATTTTATTGATTTTTTACCAAGAGGAAGGGAGAGGGATAGAGAGTTAGAAACATCCACGAGAGAGAAACATCGATCAGCTGCCTCCTGCACACACCCCACTGGGGATATGCCCGCAACCAAGGTACATGCCCTTGACCAGAATCGAACCTGGGACCCTTCAGTCCCCAGGCCGACGCTCTAGCCACTGAGCCAAACTGGTCAGGGCAGGACCCCACTCTTAACGACCTTATATAAAACTTTACCTACTTCCCTATCTCCAAATAATTACGCCGGGGGGTGGACTTCAACACAGGAACTTGGGGGGAGGGGACAAACATAAACACCACCTGGAGCCCCCCAACAACCTCACCATCCCCAAAGTGGGACAGGAGGCATTACGCAACATGAAGCTACCAACTCTAAGTACTTGTGTCAAAAATGGCAGAACCTAAATTTTAATCAAGCCCTCAGATTTAACCTCCTGATTCTAGGAAGTCAGAGGATTGTTGACCAAAAAGAGCCAGATAGGGCCCGGCCCAGCCACAGTGCTCAGCTGGTTGAGCGTCACCCTGTGCACAGAGAGGTTCCTGGTTTGATTTCCGGTCAGGGCACAAACCTGCATCACAGGTTCGATCCCCAGTCGGGGCATGTATGGAAGGCAATCGATAAATGTTTCTCTCTCTCTCTCTCTCTAAGCATGTCCTCAGGTGAGAACTGAAAAAAGAAAAAAGAGCCCGATAGGAAAGATTTTCAACTCTGTGGGCCATGGGGCCCCTGCCACAACTATTTGGCTCTGGCCTTCGTATGGCAAAAGCAGCCGTGGACACTAGGTAAATGATTGGGCACGGCTGTGTCCGGATAAAACTTTATTTATGCACACTGCCTAATTCTCACAGGTCACAAATATGAGTCTTCTTTTGATTTTTTTTCTAATTATTTAAAATGTTAAAACCATTCTTAGGCTGCATAAAAACAGGTGGTGGTTGCAAAGCATCGCTCTAATAAAAGACAATTGTGTATCAAGTACATTAAAAATGACAACTCAATAATAAAAAGACAACCCAATTCAAACATAAGCAAAGGACTGGAATAGACTTTCCTCTAAAGAAGACATACATGCCAAAACCGGTTTGGCTCAGTGGATAGAGCGTCGGCTTGCGGACTAAAAGGTCCCAGGTTCGATTCCAGTCAGGGGCATGTACCTGGGTTTCGGGCACATCCCCAGTAGGAGATGTGCAGGAGGCAGCTGATCGATGTTTCTAACTCTCTATCTCTCTCCCTTCCTCTCTGTAAAAAATCAATAAAATATATTTTAAAAAAATAAAAAATAAATAAAGAAGACATACAAATGGCCAAGAAGCACATGGGAAAAAAATGCTACACATCATTAATCTCTGAGAAAATGCAACTGGAACCACAATAAAATACCAGTTCAGACTGACTTAGAATTGACTAAAATAAAAAGTCAGATAATAGTCCTAGCCGGTTTGGCTCAGTGGATAGAGCATCAGCCTGTGGACTGAAGGGTCCCAGGTTCAAGTCTGGCCAAGGGCACATGCCCGGGTTGCAGGCTCAATCCCCAGTAGGGGGCGTGCAGGAGGCAGCCAATCAATGATTCTCTCTCATCATTGTTGTTTCTATCTCTCTCTTCCTCTCCCTTCCTCTCTGAAATCAATAAAAATATTTTTTTTTTAAAAAGTCAGATAATAACAAGTGTGGAGAAACTGGAACCCTCACACACGGAGCATGGGAACATAAAATGGAGCAGCCACCTTGGAAAACTCCGGCAGTTCCTCAAAAGGTTAAACACAGAGTTACATTTGCTTCAGCAATTCCACCCCCAGTGCAAACGAAAACATGTCCACATCAAACCCCTGTACACAAAGGTTCATAGCAGCGTTTTTCATCATAGCCCCAAGGTGGAAACAACCCAAGTGGCCATCGGTTGATAAAGGGATAAGCAAAATATGGTACAGCTCATACAAAGGAATATTACTCAGCCAGAAAGAAGAGCTGACACAGACTACAAAACGGAGGAACCTTGGGAACATTGCGCTAAGTGAAAGGAGCCGGACGGAAACGAGCAACGTCCAGATGAGGGCCATCCATACAGAGAGAAGTAGATTTGTGGTTGCCTGGGGCTGGGGAAGGGGTGTAAAATGGGGAGTGACCGCTAATGATGAAAATGTCCTAAAACTGATCAGGGTGACGGTTGCCCAACGCTGCGAATATACCAAAAAGCACTGACTTGTACACTTTAAATGGGCGCACTATATGTTAGGTGAATTACTAGTGTATGCCAATAAAGCTTTTTTTAAAAATATATATTTTTTTTATTGATTTTTTTTTTTACAGAGAGGGATAGAGTTAGAAATATCAACAAGAGAAACATCGATCAGCTGCCTCCTACACACCCCCCACTGGGGATGTGCCGGCAACCAAGGTGCATGCCCTTGGCCGGAATTGAACCTGGGACCCTTCAGTCCGCAGACCGAGGCTCTATCCACTGTGCCAAACAGGTCAGGGCTGTTTTTTGTTGTTTGTTTTTTTTTTAAAGAGGCCAGCAGGATTTGAGCTTGGCCTGCTGACGCCTGGCATAACGGAATAAGTGAAACGAGGTTACAAAGGAGCAAAAAGACAAAATTCAGATGGCGGGATTATCAACAGAATAACGGACCCAGTTTCTTAAATGAATCAATTGCACGAAGGAAAAATCAGAGTGGAGTGGAGGGGAGACTGCTCTAAATCAGGAGAAACTCAGACACTGAGAGACGACTGTATTATCGAAATTCTGTAAGCAATAAAACAAAATTAAAAAAAAAAATTCTGTCCCGGTCTTCCTCGGGACCCTAGGACTCCAGCCCGCGGGAAGGAGGCCGCAGCACTATCCCTCCACCTCCTGGAACTCACCTCGCAAACGACTCCTAGCTCCTTCGTGGATGCTTCAACCGTGCCCCTACCCCGGAAAAGAGAGCTTGTTTTCCCTCTTAGCTCCACCCACTTCCGCGCGGCGAAGGAAACCGGATATAAAGCTGCCCCTAGTCGCGGAGGTACCTCGTCTGGCTCGGTAAGTCCTCCCTTCGTCTCTTCCTCCCACCGGAAACGTGAGAGACAGATCGAAGGTTCCGTTTAGGGAAGCTGGCTTGAATATGGGGTGCGCTTAGTATCTGCTAGGCATCTCCCGGGCCAGGCGATTTCCTTGCTTGTAACTCAAAGCTTTGCGTCTCTCCAAGCCCGAGTTTAAGGACTAAGCACTTCCCCCAGGCATTGGGAACCCACTTCCTTAAATATAGCATCCACTTTTCTTGTTGTAAGGAAAGAGACAATTAATAGGGGACAACTTCTCTGTCCCCATTTAAAAATGGAGCAATAGAGAAATCGCAAGTCAGAGCCGTTCAAATCGCCCCAGGAAACAGGAATGTAATTACGGCATACCCACCCACCCCTAGGGACCAAGGCATACCGTTCCTGCCAGCTTCTAGATACGTAGATATCTGATATCTGGAGACCTAGACGGTTGTTTCCCTAACTTGGCTGGGTGCACTCCCGCTGGGGAAGCGGGAGGAGCGGAGGAGGCGCCTATCCAGTTCCCTACGTGCCCCCAGGGTGTCTTAGACCCTAGCCTTCCTGTAGGGTCCTGGACCTTAGGCCCTTCATCATAAGGTCCCTTTAAATATTTTGTCCCTTACCTGAGTCCCGCCCAGGGCAGGTAGTCGCAAACCCCGCCCCTCTGCCAGAAGCCGCGATCATCAGGGAGGATTACAGAGAACCGGGAGCCGGGAACCCCTCCTTTTTCTTCCCGCCCCTCTCTCCTGCCCCTCTACACAGCTGGCCGCAGCTGGCTTAGGAGGCCCCCATTAAGGAGGAGGGGACAGTGCTCACAAGTCTGGGCAGGTAAGTGAATACCCCTGGAGGCAGAGCCTGGCTTGGGGTCCTTGGCATCCTGGCTCCCTGACCCTCTGGGTCCCAGAAATTTAGGGCCCCCAAGCCCAGGAGTCTAGGGCCTCTTCCCCCACCTCCCCCTGGACTCAAGAATTGAGGCCCCTGGTTCTTGCCTCTCCTGTAATCTTTGATCTCTGTCGCTGGATGTGGCCATGGGCATAGAGACAGAGGGATACATGTGGAAATAACAGGAAGGAAGGGATCCTGATCGCCCATGGACATGGTTATGAGCACTTACTGTGTGTCAAAACTGTGCGGGGGACGGCAAACACAGAGGGGGGAAAGACAAGCTCCCGGCTCAAGTCTCCGGAGGCACGCTGCCTTTGCTCGGATCTTGCAAACCTGCAAACCGTATGCCTTGGGCAAGTTCTGTGACCTCTCTGTGGCTCCGTTTCCTCATCTATAAAATGGGGATAATGATAGCACCATTGTGAAAATTAAACTGTTATATAGGCAAACTACCTTGAACAGTGTCTGGCCCAGAATACAGGCGAGGGCAGTGTCTGCTATTATGATTATAATTCGCGGGCCACGGAGTCCAGGCAGGGAGACCGTGCCTCTTTCCTTCGGGGCGGAGGCCTTGGTCATCTATACCACACCTCGTTCCAGGTGGTCCACAAAATATGAGGGGCAGGGGCCACCCCTCTCTGCTGCTGCTGTACCTGGGGTTGACCACCTGTCTGGACACCTCACCCAGCGAGGAGCAAGACCAAGGTGAGTGTTTGGGGGAAGACTCTGATATCCACCTTCCCCATCCTGGAACCCTTGCCTCTACCCCCTCCTACCCCTTAAGTTCAGCTTCCTCCATGTCTCTAGTCCTCCATTTTTCTGTCCCTCGTGTTCTTTGGGCCCAGAAGTCTTCTTGGACTCCCCCAAGGCCCAGAGCTACCTGGGCAGCCACAGACGAATTCGTCGAGCCAATCACTGGGACCTGGAGCTGTTCACGCCAGGGAACCTGGAGCGGGAGTGTTACGAGGAGAAGTGTTCCTGGGAAGAGGCCAGGGAGTACTTTGAGGATAATACCCGGACGGTGAGAGCCTGGGGGGCCCCAGGCCCTGGGGGGGATCCTGGCCCTCAACTCCCTCTACCCTCTGGTCTCAGACATCTGGGTGGCTGGTTGGGTGTGTGGAATCTGCCGGTTGACAGCTTGTCTTTCCACCTTCTCTACTCCCACCCCTTCCAGAAGCACTTTTGGGAGACGTATATCCACAATGGCAAGGCAGGTGAGTAGGAGGCCATGCCCTCTGGGTCTGTGCAGCTAAGGCAGTCCCTTCCCACGGAGGCTGAACCAACACTCCCAGCCCAAATTCTTCGATCCCTGGGTTCCTGGAGGTGGTTGTTAGAAGCATCCTCTCTCTCTTTTTTAATTAATATTTTTTAACTTTGATTTTGAGAGAGAGAGAGAGAGAGAGAGACATCAATTGGCGGCCTCCTGCACGGGAATCTGACCAGGAATCGAACCGGCGACCTCTTGGTTGCATGGGTCATCATCGCTCAACCACTGAGCCACACCAGCCAGGCAAAGTGTCCTCTCTTTGGAGACCAGAGCTGAGGCCTGAGGAACCCACCACACCTCATTGCAAGAGGTCCCATGTCCCCAGGAAGCGGGAAGTGAGGGTGGAGGGAGGAGTTACAGCCTGGAGCCCATCAGGCCTCAGGCTCAGAGGCGCTGGCCCACCTGAGAGAGCCCCAGCCCTTCTGCAGCTTGGTTGCTAGGGGGGTTGTTCCCTAGCAACACAGCCTGGTCAGGCCAGGCCATGGAAACCGGTGCATCCTCACCGGACCAGTCCGCCCACCCTCCAACCCTCCTCTGAGTTGAGAGGCCCCGGCATGGCTGCAGCCTTGCTGCTAAGGGGGGAGGGGCTGCTCCTTAGCAACCAGGCCGGGCCTGGCCGGACCACGGAAGCACTCACTACCTGGCTGGCTTCTCCTCCCCACAGCCCATCCCAGCCTCGGCCTGGTTGCTAAGGAGGCCTTCTCCCTAGCAACCACACCTAGCCAAGCTCAGGACCCTAGGCCTCCTGCCCACCAGAGGACCCCCTTCCAGGCACCAGATGCCCCACCCCCTTTTGGCCTGGTTGCTAGGGGTGGATGTACCATAGCAACAGGCCCTAGGTCTGGGCAGGAGTCCTCACATTGGAGACGGGTTGCTAGGGGAGGTGACGGCGTTGCTACAGGCCTATGGATGCCTGGTTGCTGCTTGAATCCACCTGAAACATGTCAGAGGGGGCCTGCCTGCTCAGAGCAGCTTGTTGTTAAGAGGCCAAAAGCCTGGGTTTGCTGTTTGAGGAACCCCTCACCCCCCACCCAGTGCTAAAGTTGGACTCCCCAGCAGCAAGGCCTCATGAAGCTGGAGCCCTCCCTGCACACCCCTCCTCCCCCCCCCCCCCACTTTTCCTCAGACACAAGCCTTGGATTGCTAAAGGGGCTGCACCTTAGGAAAGGGGACACCCAGCCATTTGTTATTGGAGGAAAGTCCCTAAGTTCCTCCTTTGATAAATGAAAATGTTTTATTATTTAAATTAATTTCAGAGAGGAAGGGAGAGGGAGAGAGAGAGATAGAAATATCAATGATAAGAGAGAATCATCGGTCGGCTGCCTCCTGCACGCCCCACACTGGGGATCGAGCCCGCAACCTGGGCATGTGCCCTTGACCGGAATCAAACCTGGCACCCTTCAGTCCGCAGGCCGACGCTCTATCCACTGAGCCAAACCAGCCAGGGCGATAAATGATTTTTTTTCTAGCCTCCTGGTAAACCCCAAAGCCTTCCTGTGGGTTCTGCAGTTCCTCCAGAGTTGAGACCTTGCCCCTCAGTTGCCTGGTTGGTAAAAGGGGCTGCATGCCAGATAAAATATAGGAACTACCCCCGCCCTCTTCCTGAGTTAAATTTCAAATGCACACGAATCATTTTGTTTTAGTCTAAGTATGTCCCCATTTAATAATATATGGGATATATCTGTATTTAAAAATTATTTGTTGTGTATGTAAAGTTTTGTGGGGTGTCCTATATTATTATTTGTTAAATCTGGCAGTGTTCAGTGGGGGGGGGGGGCCTTGAGAGTTAGCCTCCTGACCTCCCTACCTTACCTGTAGTGTGTCACCTGCAGTCTTAGCAGATGGATTGCTTAGGACGGTCTTGAACCACCCTCTAGGGAGGGGCTTTTATCGTCAGGGGGATACAGCTGCCGTATTTTCTAGTACCAGTTGAAGTGATCATAGGTCTTCTGTGCATTTAATCTCATTGAATTTTTGCAACCTGTCAGAGAGGGACTATGGTCCCATTTTACAGAGCAGGAAATGGAGGCTCAGAGAAATGAGTGAGGTGAGTTGCCTCAGATCACACAGCCAGGAAGTAGCCCCAGCTCTGCCTTGCTTCTCGGCCAGTGTTCTTCCCTCAGGAGAAAGGCATTTGGATGTTGGGGTGGGTGGCAGCCCCTGGGGCAGTGGCTCCCTCTCCCCGCCCCCCTCCTTCCTCCACAGGGCGTGGACGAGTGGATGTAGCAGGCCTGGTTGTGGGGCTGACATCTGGCATCCTGGTCATTGTCCTGGCCGGCCTGGGAGCCTTTTGGTATCTGCACTGGCGACGTAGCAGAAGCCAGCTACCGAGTCCTCAAGAGTAAGGGGACTTCAGGGGGGAAGGGGGGCTGGGGGGCTGGAGAGAAGGGTGAGGGTGGGAGGAGGACGGGTCAACCTAAGGAGATGGGCCAAGGGTGGGGGGCAGGTGGATGCTGCTGGGAGATCTGAGGAGACAGTCATGTGGAGAGTGAGGCTGTGAGATTGTGTCCGGTTGTGGCGTGTCTGTCTGACTATATCCTCAGTACCTGGCACACAGGAGGAGCTCCACCAGCATTTACTGCCGGCCTTTGCCGTACCAGGTGTCGGTGTGATTATCTGTGTGTGACCATTGTCTCTGGTGAAGCAGCAGCCTGCGGTCTCTGGGTGTCTGTGGGCGGCTGTGGTATGTCAGTTTCCGTGGCACAGGGTGTAGCCAATGTGTTGCGTGCGCCTGTAGGAGGTGTCTAGGTGTGTCTTTCTCAGTGGCGGGGTCCAAAAATGGCGCTTGAGCGTCAGTCTTGCAAGTACGGTGGGTCTGGGGGTTGCCAAGAGTTTGCTGTCAGTGGGCATGTCTGTGTTGTGTCTGTCTCTGTGCGCGTCCACCTGCCTCCGAAGGCTGGCTTTCTCTCCATCCCTCTGCCTATACCTGGAGTACCTGTGTGTCTGTGAATAAGAGTCTCTCTCAGCAGCTGTTGATTTCTGGGTCTGCCTGTCCCTGCGCATCTGCCTGTCATTTTGAGGTGCTTTTCTGCGTGTGAGATTGAAGGTGACCCTCTTTCTTGCCTGGTTCATCTCCCTTCCACATGTTCCCCTGCCATCCCCAGAGTCTCTGGGTCCCTACATCCTCCCTCCTTCTCCCCATCTTTCTATCCCGTAGGTTTCACCTGCTAACTGTGCACCTTCTGTTCCCAGGGCCGAGCTCATCAGCCCTCTGAGTCCCCTGAGCCCCCCGGGCCCGCCAACGCCCCTGCCGCCACCCCCACCGCCAGGCCTCCCCACCTACGAGCAGGCGTTAGCGGCCTCTGGGGTGCACGACGCACCTCCGCCACCCTACACCAGGTGCGGGGCTGCCTTCTGCCCGGAGGCGGGGCGCAGAGGGGGGGCACGGCTGGGGGCGGGCGTGGGCTCGGGGGCGGGCTTGTAATTCCGAGCTTATTATTCCGGGCGAG